GATACAATTACCAGGAATTCTATCCTATTAAAAGGTGAACATTTCAAGTGTTATTTGTGCTAACAAACATATTACTAGTAGTATTAATAGTAGTAGTGATAGTAGTAGTAGCTTTAATGGTAGTGTTGGTAGTAGGAGCAATATTAATTATAAGTCACACTTGCTGAATGCACAATTGGGAGGTAATTACTGTAGAATTTCATGTGTATTTTCTCATTTGATCATCATCATCACAAAAAACAGGTACAGACCAAAATCTTAATAATTGCATATCTCAAATTTGTTATGACTAAATGAGGTAGCATGTAAAAATAAATTTGGAAACTGAACATTTGCAAAAATGCAAATGCAATCATATTACCACAACATTTCTACCAAATATATTTAAAGATCACAAGATGCATTGCTATTTACAATCTACTTATCTTAGTGCTAATGTGTAACACCGTCAGAAATTCTTAACATTAGTTAAACTGCCCTTTTCTCATTTCCAAATTTCTCCAGAAATTAGTACCTGAGAAAGCTTGCAGCAAATCAGAATGAGGATATGAAGGTTTATCAAATCATTATGTTAGAGCTCAGTTCTCTGAATAAACTAAAGCCACAGGTGTCATTATACAACTACAATGGTTCTTAGTGTCAAGAAGTGAGGTGGATGGGAAAAAGTAAGCAACAATTAGTACTATTGTTGTCCAAAACAAAAATCGCTCAAAAAGCACAATGATTATAAATTAAAAAACATTTTTCAGTGAAATCCCCAAATACAATAGCTAGGCAAAAACTTATCATATCCTTTCCAGATATCTACAAGGAAAGATGGAAATTTTTCCTGCAAAACCCCAAACCTGGATTGGTCATCTAATTCTATTATTAGAAGAGGAAGAAGATCATTTAGGGAAATTATTTTCTTTCAGTTGAGATTAACCCCCAGTGGTCCACTGGCTACCCTTAGAGCCTAAAGGTCTTGAGGACACCTTAGGTCCAGATGGCTCTCAGGACTCTGCTGGGTCTAAGAAAGGCAATTCAAGGGTGATTACAGTTCCACATCCATCACCAGTCTGAAGGCTATCACAAACTTGTATTTACTGTACCCAGAAAGGACCCAGTGACATATAATCTAAGTGACTGGCACATTTCTGAGTAGGGAACTTCCCACAGCATGGCTAATTGTGGAGGTGCTGCCCATCTTGCATGTTCTCTCCCTGTAGCTTTCATCACTCCTCTGAGCATAGCATGATGCCCGAACCCTGAACTTATTTATTCATTAGTCCTAGAGAATGTCCAAGTCCACTACCCTCCAACTTGCATGTATGCCTCATTGAGGACCCTCTCACCTGCTCTATGTTTATGTGGATGATTTCCAGGACCAGGAGAGAACAAGTTGTTCCTGATTTCGCTTCTTCTTTTGGGAAATATCTTTATCTCTTCTATCTTTATCTTCTCTATCCTGTAGGTGTTCACATTGTAGCAAACGACCATGAAACTTATCTTGAGAATGATTGAGGTCTAACTAACCACCAAGGATCTCCTGAGATCAGTGAGGACATCTCAAGGTGCCTACAACTCTATACCCTCACCAGTCTGAGGGCCACCACAAACTTGTACTTTGTGACTCTTACTCCACTCAGAGAAAAAACTAGTTACATGTAATCTAAGTTACTGGCACTCTTTTAGTCAATTGTCATGCTGCTAATGAAGACATACCAAAGACTGGGTAATTTATATATAAAAAAAGAGGTTTAATTGACTCACAGTTCACCATGGCTGGGGAAGCCTCGGGAAACTTGCAGTTATGGTGGAAGGCAAAGCAAACACGTCCTTCTTCACATGGCGGCAGGAATGAGAAGTGTTGAGCAAAGTGGGTGAAATCCCCTTATAAAACTATCAGATCTCGTGAGAACTCACTCTCACGAGATCAGCAGCATGGGAGTAACTGCCCCCATGATTCAATTACCTCCCACCAGGTCCCTCCTATGACACATGGGGATTATGGGAACTATGATTCAAGATGAGATTTGGGTGGGGACACAGCCAAACCATATCAGGCACCTTTCTGGGAATAGCCCTGAACACAGCATAGTTGAAAGGGGAAGTGGTGCCCTATCTTACATTTTCATACCATGTAGCTTTCATCACTCCTCTGAGCGCAGCATGATGTCTGAATCCTGAACTTATTTATTCATCAGTTCAAATTAATGCCCAGCCCACAAGCCCCCACCTTGCATGTCTCCCTCAGTGAGTGTCCTTTCACCTGCTCTATGTTTACTTGGATGATTGCCAAGACCAGGAGAAAACAAGCTTGTTCCCGGGTTCTATTCTTCAACTAGGAAGTATCTTCATCTCTTCTATCACTTTCTTCTCTAACATGATGGACTCCACATTGTTAGGAATGCACCAGTAACATTATCTTGAGGATGCCTGAGGTCCATGTGGCCAACTAGGATCTCCTGGCATCAGGGAAGGCAGCTCAAGGCCCTTGCAACTCCACATCAGGGATCCATAGGCACTATATACTTGTACTCGGTAAGCCTTAATCCACTCAGAGAGGAACCAGTTACATATAATCTAAGTGACTGGCACCTTTCTGGAACATATTGTGGATGAATGGGGAGGTGCTGCTCCATTGTGCAATGTGAATCCCCATCCTAGAGAATGTCCAGCCCACTGCCCTCCAGCATGTATGTTTCCCTCAGTGAGAGCACTCTCACTTGGCTTCATGTTTACCCAGATGGTTGCCAGGACCACAAGAGAACAAGCTTGTTTTTCTGTCCTTCTATTAGGAAGTATCTTCATGTCTTCTATCCTTCTCTTCTCTATCATATAGGCATTCTCATTATTAGGAATGAACCACTGAAATCATCTAGAGGATGTCTGAGGTTCAGGTGGCCAGCTAGGATCTCCTGGCATCACTGAAGACAACATAAGGCTCCAGCAACTCCACCTTATCGCCTCTCTGAAGACCACCACACACTTGTACTTGGTAAGCCTTACTCCACTCAGAAAGGAAACAGTGACATGTAATCTAAGTGACTGGCACCTTTCTGAATAGAGCACTGCCCACAGCACGACTGATTGTGGAGGTGTTGCCCCATCACCCAACATCATGTACTGCAGCTTTCATCACTCCCCTCAACACAGCAGGAGGCCTGAACCCTGAACATAATTATTAAGTCCTAGAGAATTTCCAGCCCACTGTCCTCCAACTTGGCATGCCTGGCTCGATGAGGACCTTCTCATCTGATTTATGTTTACCTGGATGATAGCCAAGATGAGAAGAAAAAATCTTGTTCCCGTTTTGTCTTCTTTTAGGAAGTATCTTTATCTCTTGTATTATTACCTTCTCTAACCTGTAGGTGCTCACCTGGTTAGAAATGGACCATTAAAATCATCTTGAGGATCTCTGAGTTCCAGGTGGCTTCCAAATCTCTCCTGGGATCAATGAGGGCAGTTGAAGGTACTTGCAGGTCTGTCTCCTCACCAATCTGAAGGGCACCATAAAATTGTACCTGAAGAATCTTGCTCTACCCAGAAAGGAGCTGGAAACATGTAATCTAAGTGACCAACACATTTTTGAGTAGGGCATTGCCCACAATATGGTTAGCTGTGGAGGTCCTGTCCCATCTTGCATGGTTCTCCCCCTGTAGCTTCCATCACTCCTCTGAGCACAGCATGATGCCTGAACCCTGAACTTATTTATTCAACAGTTCCAGAATAATGTTTAGCCTACTGCCCTCCAGTGTACATGCCTCCCTAAATGAGGAACCCTTCACCTCCTCTATGTTTACCTGTGTGATTGCCAAGACCAGGATAAAGCAAGATTGATCCCATTTTCTATTTTTCTAGCAGGAATTATCTTCATCTTGTGTTTCTCATCTGTAACCTGTATGTGTTCAAGTTGTTAGGGACAGATGATTCAGAATATCCTGAGGATGCCTGAGGTCCACATGGCCAACTAAGGTCTCCTGGTATCAGTAAAGGTACCTCAAGGCTCTTGAAACTCCACCCTATCATGGGTCCAAAGGCCACTACAAACTTATACTTGCTGAACCTTACACTACCAAGAAAGAAATCAGTGACGTATAATCTAGGAAACTGGCACATCTCTAAGTAGGGCACTGCACACAACATGTCTAATAGTGGAGGTGCTGCCCCGTCTTGCAAGGTCAACCCCTGTCCAGCAGAATGTCCAGCCCACTGCCCTCCATATTTACTCTTTACTCACATGGTTGCCAGGACCACGAGAGAACAAGCTTGTTTTCTGTTCTTCTATTAGGAAGTATCTTCATGTCTTCTATCTTTCTATTCTCTAAAAAATAGGTATTTCCATTGTTAGAAATACATCATTGAAATCATCTTGAGAACATCTGAGGTTCAATTGGCCAGCTAGGATCTCCTGGCATCACTGAAGACAAGTAAAGGCTCCAGCAACTCCACTGCATCACCTGTCTGAAGGCCACCATGAACTTGTACTTGGTAAGCCTTACTCTACTCAGAAAGGGAACAGTTACGTGTAATCTAAGTAACTGGTGCCTTTCCAAGTAGGGCATTGCCCACAGCATGACTGATTGTAGAGGTGTTGTCCCATCACCCACCATCGTGCACTGCAGCTTTCATCACCCTGCTCAACACAGCAGGATGCGTGAACCCTGAACTTATTCTTAATTCCTAGAGAATTTCCAGCCCACTGCCCTCCAACTTGGCATGCCTGCCTCAATGAGGACCTTCTCACCCGATTTATGTTTACCTGGATGATGGCCAAGACAAGAAGAGAAAAAGATTGTTCCTGTTTTCTCCTTTTAGGAAGTAACTTTATCTCTTCTGTCATTGCTTTCTCTAACCTGTAGGTGCCCACATTGTTAGAAATGATCATCTTGATGATCATCTTGATGCCTGCATTCCAGGTGGTTTCTAAGGCTCTCCTGGGATCAGTGGAGGCAGCTCAAGTTGTTTGCAGGTCTACCCCCTCACCAGTCTGAGGGCCACCACAAAACTGTACTTGATGAGCCTTCCTTCATCTAAAGAGGTGTCAGTCACATGTAACATAAGTGACTGACAGCTTTTTGAGTAGGGCACTGCCCACGACATGGCTAATTGTGGTGGTGCTGCCCAATCTTGCATGTTCTCACGCTGTAGCTTCCATCACTCCTCTGAGCACAGCATTATACCTGAACCCTGAACTGATTTGTCAGTCCTAGATAACGTCTAGCCCACTGCTCTCTAAGGTACATGCCTCCCTAAGTGAGGAATCTCTCACCTATTCTATGTTTATCTAGATGATTGCCAGGACTAGAAGAGAGCAAGTTTGTTCCCATTTTCTATTTTTTCTAGTAGGAATTATCTTCATCTTGCCTTTCTGATCTATAACCTGTAGGTGTTTATGTGGTTAGGGACAGGCCATTTAACTTACCTTGAGGATGCCTGAGGTCCACATGGTCAACTAAGATCTGCTAGTATCAGGGAAGGTACCGCAAGGCTCTTGCAACTCTACCTCATCATGGGTCCAAAGGCCACTACAAACTTATACTTGGTGTGCCTCACTCTACCTGGAAAGGAACTAGTGACATATAATCTAGGCAACTGCACATTTCTCAGTAGAGCACTGCACACAGTATGGCTGATTGTGGAGTTGCTACCCCATGTCGCACAGTTATACCCTACAGCTTTCACCACTTGCCTCAACACAGCACGGTGCCTGAACCCTGAACTTAACTTATTCATAAGTCCTAGAGAATACCCAGCTCATTGCCCTTCAGCTTGCATGCCTCCTTCAGTGAGCACCCTTTCATCTGCTTTGTTTACCCAGATAATTACCAAGACCAGTAGTGAACGTACTTTTCCCCGATTTCTCCTCTTCTACAAAACATATATTCATCTTTTACCTTTGCTTCTTTAACACATAAGTGCTCATACTGTTAGGTATGCACCATCGAAATCATCTTGATGCCTGAGGTCCACATGGCCAACTGGGATCTTCTGGCATTAGAGAAAGCAGTTGAAGGCCCCTGACACTCCACTGCATCAGGGGTCCAAAGGCCACCCAAAAGTTGTGTTTGGTGATATTACTCCACCCAGAAAGGAACCAGTTACATATAATCCAAGTGACTGGAACCGTTCCAGAAAAGGCACCGCATACATTATGGCTGAATAGGGAGGTGTTGCCCAGTCTCGCGTGGTCACTCCCAGCAGCTTTCATCACTCTCCTAAACACAACAGAATGACTGAACCCTGATCTTATTTATTCATCACTCTTAGAGAATTTCCAGCTCACTGCCCTCCAATTTGCATATCTCATTCAGTAAAAGTACTCTCACCTGCTTGGTGTTTGCCCAGATCATACCCAGGAGCAGGAGAGAACAAACGTGTTCCATTTTCTGTTCTTCTGTTAGGAAGTAACTTCGTGTCTTCTATCTGTCTCTTCTCTAACATACAGGTGTTCACGTCTTGAGGATGCCTGAGGTTCAGGTGATCAGCTAGGATCTCCTGGCATTATTAAAGATAACTCCTGCAGCTCCACCCCATTACCTGTCCGAAGGCCACCACAAACTTGTAGTTAGTGAGCCTTACTCTACGCAGAAAGGACACAGTGACATGTAATGTAAGTGACTGGCACCTTTCTAAGTAGAGCACTGCCCACAGCATGGCTGATTGTGGAGGGGCTGCCCCATCCCCCACCATTGTCCCCTGCATCTTTCATCACACCCTTCAATACAGTAGGATGCCTGAATCTGGAACTTACCTATTATGAAGTCCTAGAGAATGTCCAGCCCACTGCCCACCAACTTTCATGCCTGCCTCAGTGAGAACCCTCTCACTTGCTCTATGTTTACCCAGTGATTGCCAGGACCAGGCGAGAACAAGCTTGTTACCATTTTTTATTACTCTATTAGGAACGATCTTCATCTCATCTTTCTCTTCTATAACCTGTAGGTGTTTGCATTGGTAGGAATGCACCATTGAAATCATCTTGAGGATGCCTGAGGTCCACATGGCCAGCTAGGTTCTCCTGTTATCAGGGAAGGCAGCTTGAGGCCCTTGCAGCTCTACCCCAACACAGGTCCAAAGGCCACCACGAATATATACATGGTGAGCCTTACTCTACCCAGAAAGGAGCCAGTGACATATAATCTACATAAATGGCACCTTTCTGAGTAGGGCATTGCACACAACATGGCTGATTATGGAAGTGCTGCCCTATCCCCCACCATTGTCCCCTGCAGGTTTCATCATTCCCCTCAATAGAACATGATGCCTGAACAATCTGATTCATAAGTCCTAGAGAATGCCCATCCCACTGCTCTCCAAACTGCATCCCTCCTTAAGTGGAGACCCGCTAATCTTCTCCATGTTTACCTAGATGATTGACAGGAGGAGAGAATAAGCTTGGATATGTTTCCTTTTCTTAAGAAGTATCTTTATCTTCTCTCACTTGTAAAAATGGAAGTTTTTATATATGTAGCATTTCACATGGTTTGATCTCCCTAAAGTTTACAAAAAAACCCTCCAAGACACCTACCACATCCTTATTTTCTCCATATATTCCTTCATTCCAAATACATAGAATAAAAATGACAAGAATTGCAAAAGTTCCTAAGTGAAGCTAAAGTACATTAGAGATGTGAAAGAGAGAAACTTATTTTCTTCATCCATCCTTTGAGAGGAAACTACACTTTTAACTCATAACTTTTGAATTTTCCTACAAGCCTTTTGTGCTCTGATTTTCCCTGAAATAATCTGAATCAGAGGGAGGTTGTAAGACAGTATGTGGGGAGATGCCTGGCCCAATCCAGTTCTCCTGGCCATGATTGGAACCTTGCTCTCACTCCTACCTGAAATTACTAAAACCTATGTGATCATTCACCTATTATCCTGCTACAAAGCGGGACACAAATGTAGCAAAGTTTCATAGCCTTTCTTCACTGAAACAAATATAATTGTTGATATGGAGCAGCAGAGAAGAAATATGCCCAATATCTGGGACCCTTAGTGGTCTAGAAAAGCTGTGAGGGCAAACATCTGAAGAGCGATTTCTATTTTGACCCAGTTGTGCCAGTATTTATTTCTTCCATTGGCCTTAGGATTAACTCACACAGACGATGATAGGCTGTTTACCATGCAAGAACAAGCACTGAACACATACAGAGTCAGAGACTACTGTATATCTCATTATATTTCATTGCCTTATTTCATAAGTTATGTGAAAAAATAAAGGTAAATACAAATAAAAGGACAAGAGCAACAACAATAATTTATATTTCTGAAATGCTCACTTACACCACATCAATGTACTTGGGAATTTTATGTGAATCTTCTCACATATCCTCACAATCTTTTACATACTGACACAGATTTGTCTTGAAGATTAATGAGAAAACATGTGAAGATACGCTTGGATCCTCAAATATAACAACACGAGATACTACGTTGATGGCGACATAGAGGGCACATCTAGAGAAGAAAAAATACCTATGAAATTTCCTATTTACAACCTACTTAACCGTCTAGGAGATAAGTATGTGGGTAGTTCTATTATCTATAATTCACCAGTGCTATTAACTGTCTTTCTTTACACCAAACAGTCCCAAGATCTTGTTAATTCTGATGCATGAGAGAGCAATCCAGGAACAGCTGGCAGCAGGTACTTTCAGACTTATGATGCGAAGGCAGAGTTCTCCTAAGTGCCTCACTTGGAACTTACTGACTGTGATGATGTGGAATGAGAATTTCTTTAATACAGCAATGCATTAAAAAATGGAGCTATCACTGTCTAGCTAGATTGATTAAAACATTAAAACCACTAGATTTGTAAGGTTGGGAGAAAACAAAGAGATACTACACGAAGTACCTTCACAAACTGTCAGCATTAACCATCAATCAATCTCAGAAAAATAAGGATCTTATCAAAAAAGAAAGATGGATTTGTAGAAGGGTCCAACCGTATACTCAGTTCTTGGAAAATACAAACCCTTCCAAGAGGAGACTTCAGGATTGCTAATGACTTAAAGCCCTTACCAGATGAATTAGGTGGTGCAATGCTTTCCTGAAAACTATTTTAAAATCCTAGTCGTGTAATCATACAACTGGAATGGTCTCAAAAATAATGAGCCATATCAGAGGTTAGGTGGTAAGGAATAGATAATATGTAAAAGTTATGAGTTTCTTGTACATAAGCCTCTATATGTCTAAGGATTTCCAGGCTTCTACCATTTGGTAAGTGGAGACTACAGTTTCCAGATCAGATGAAGAAACAGGGATCAAATTTATCTGGTGTCTAAAACAACATAAAATCCAGATATATACAGAAAAGCTTGTCTTTCAGACACCGTAGAGTGATCTGTGAGAGAAGAGACACATTCGAACAGTCCATCTGAGAAGTCCTGCCAACTTCTCAGAGAGAGAATATCGACTCCAGTGCAGAGAATGGGAACCCAGGCAAAGCCTGGCAATTTTCAATATTAACAGATGAAACTGGAAAAAAGGAGACCATTTCACTAGATGCAGAGAGATGTGTCACTAAATCTAACATCCATATCTGAAAAACAATAACAACAAATCAGGTATAGCACAGAGTATGTCCTCAATTGCTTGAATGGCATCTATGAAAAACCACAGATAAATTAAGGCTTCATTGTTAACGTTCTTATGCTTGACTCCTGAGATCAGGAACCAAGTGGGGATGTCCTATTCACTATTTCTGTGCAAGAATTATACCAAATTAAAGTAAGGAAATAAGGTAAGGATGTAATATTTTATAATTTGCAATCATGGATGAGTAAAATCTAGAGTCTGTCATCTTCAACCATTAACTTCCCCTTACCTGTGTTTGCAGTGGGTTGCACTGCAAATAAATTATCTCTGTGGCATAGATAGCCACAGGGTATTCTAGAAAAATATACAAACTGAACAATAAAGCAGAACAAAGCAAAACACATTATAATATGTATATGAAAAACCACCAATGAAATCCTATGAGTGATAACTGATGTTACTCTTCTTAGTAGTAATATAATAGCAGGGTTACTAAGACTGATACCATTAGTTATAGCACTAGTACCGCCAGCAGTAGTGCTAACAGGAAAATTTGCTGAATGATTACATGCCTGGCAGGTGTGTAGTTCAGATTTTCATATGGATTTCCACATTTCATACCCACAACAAATTGGTACCAAAGACACAGGATCCTAATGTTTTGATTTGTCACGGTGATTGAGGACATGTGTAGAACATACATTCGGAAATGGAAAAAAAAAACCCAGAAATGCACAGATAAGCATAGTAATCACAGATAATCATGTGATCATGGAACAAGATTAAGACTGCTATGCAGTGTTAACCTTGCAGAAATCATTCACATTAACCTCAGAAAATAGGAAGAAATTCATTTTGCTGCTATATGTCCTCCAATCTGACCTAATAAAAGGTGTTTATTGAACATGCTCTTATTTTTACCAAAGTACTAGTAATATAGTCTCTACCACTATGACTACTCTATACCAGTATCACTACAAGGAGGTGAAGAAGAAGCAGCAGTAGTTACATAATTGATGACTTACATGGTTTGCAATGTCCATGAGGCCTTTAGATGGATTCTCTCTTTTGACCCTAACAACAAACATGTGCCATTGAATGTTTTACTGAATCAATGACTCAGGTAAGTTGCAAGGATTAAGGAGATAACATTTGTAGACTCTTTCGGAACCTACGAAAAAACAAGCTACATAATTATAGTATGACTATGCAACATTGAATACCTAAAATAAATGACATACTAATTTACTATTCACAACCTGTGTAGCTATCAGCATGTATATTTTCTTTCTCATTTCTATTAGTAATAATTTACTGGTTCTGCAGTTGGAGGATGAAAATCTTGAAGGGGCTGGCAGTAAAGCTCTACCAATCCATTAGAATTGTGACTTCTCAAAATTTGCAAATCACTGATTATGATACAGAATGAGGCTGTCTGTACTGAGTTCAGTCTAAATATATAGACACTGATTCCCTACCCACAAATATGTAAAATGTGACAACTAACTGATAGTTTTAACTGAGAAGAAAAAAGGATAGGTTAAAAAGAATGACAACCTTCCTCAAACCACCAGCAATAATTGAGTGAAGACTTGTTCAAAAGTTAAAATTCCCTAAAAATATACATATGTATACATATATTCACAGATATCCATGCATGAAAAAGCACTTATACACAAAATTGAAGGGATTGTGTAACTCAGGCTTTATCCACGTTAATAATGAGTAAGTCCTGTATTGTTCATTTCTAATTCATTGCCTGTCCATAACTAGCACTCTTTATATTATTTTAAAAGAATTATGATAAAATTCTTCTGCTTATTTTCTAATGCAGATCAAAGATATTAATAAAAAGTTATACAAAGAAAAAAATGTGAAGAATCTACCACAGGAGTTCCTAAATGGTATTCTTAACAATTATATACTAATAATAAACACAAGGTAATCGTGGCTTACAAATTCAAAGTTTCCAAAAATAACTGGTGGCTGATATGACATGTTAAATGAAGCAAATGGCTGTAAGACCCGTATTGAGCTGACAGTTCATAAAACTCATGATGTGATAGGCCAGTTCTACAATTAGAAGTAACTCTTGGTGACTTAACAACTCTGATTATGCAGGCTATTTATTAAATACTGCAATTCATTATACAAAGGGAGATTGTTATATTTATGGAATTATCTGAAAAATGAAGAGAACTGGTTAACAGTTAAGGAAATGAGGCAAGTATAAAAGACAAAAAAATGACAAAGTTATTTTGCCTGTATTCCAGCCACAATCATACAGCAAAAATAAGATTGTATTCAAAACAAAAATCAATCAAAAATTGGTAGGATAAATAAAGTTTTCACACATATAGACACAAAACTATTTAGTTTCCTTTAGTAGACATAACATAGATTTGCTTGGATAAGTATTTTTCTTAATTTTAAATGACTAGGGGCCAGGCGTGGTGGCTCACACCTGTAATCCCAGCATTTTGGGTGGCCGAGGCGGGTGGATCACCTGAGGTCAGAAGTTTGAGACCAGCCTGGCCAATATGGTGAAACCCTGTGTCTACTAAAAAAACAAAAATTAGCTGGTATGGTTGCGGGTGCCTATAATCCCAGCTATTCAGGAGGCTGAGGCAGTAGAATCCCTCGAACCTGGAGCTAGAGGTTGCAGTGAGCCGAGATCACACCGTTGCACTCCAGCCTGGGTGACATGAGTGAAACTCCATCTCAAAAAAAAAGAAAGAAAGAAAGAAAAAAGACTAGGAAGCTAACATTTAAGAAACAAGAATGAAGTAAATTAATAAATCTGAATATTGAATATATTTTCCTAGGCTCCCCAATTATGGTGAGACAGCAAAACATTTATTATGAAAAATTAAGACAAATTCATTTCATAGAAAGAAAACAATTCCATTAATTTTCTGTGGTGCCTTGCACAACCTTTCTACACTCATCTATGAATTCCTTCTGTAAATTATATTTGTTCAACTTAATAAATATAGTAGCAATAAGGATAATTATTAACATTTACTCAATGTTGACTTAATTGGATTATATAAGATATATTTGGAGATTATTTCATTTGATCCAGGTAACACCTATATTATATAAAAGTCATTATTAATTTGATAGCACAGATTGGCTGTGAAGTTTGAGTGGAATAACATGTATAAACTACTTGAGTTACATAAAATATCATAAGCATATCACTGAGGTGTATCACAGTGTTCATCACTGTGGCTGTCAAGGCTAATTCTTAATGCCACAGCAATTTCCAATTTAGACACTACTTAAAACATATAAGTCCTAGAATTTCTGAGGTTAATCCTGCACATGTTGCTATTATTAGTGAATATTAAACCCCACTATTCCATTGCTCCTCTTCAGGTTCTAGATTTTTCTCAGTTTTCTGGAGTTTAAGTGGATTCCAAATCCCAATGAACTTAACAGGCAGTAAATCTTGCTCCTGTTACAACAAATCATTTGTTTTTATTCTGGATGATATTGAATCCAGTTTCAAACACAGGCCTAAAATAGTACCTCGGATAAACTCAAAAGAGGTAATTCATAACAAACATTTATGAACACTCCACAAGTGTCTTACAGAGCAGCCAATACCTTGGTTTTGGCTTTTGACCAAAGAGACTGTTTGCAAGTCGACTGGCAAGGAGACAAGAGGAAAGCCTCAAATCTTTCTCCTTGACAGGGGTTGGGTTGGATTTTATAAGTAGAGGGTAATGAAGAATGGTCTCACTGGCTCTTGCATTGAGGTGATGCCAGGAGGCAGGATCTGACGGGATCCTGCCATGGGGTGACACAAGTGCTCAACCTGGTGGGAATCCGGGTCTCGTCATGCAGTGTCCACTTCCTAATTCAGTCCCCACTTCTTGGTCTGAGCGCTTAGGTTCCTCCCATGGCTGCACGCTTGGTTTATCTGATCATGTTCAAGTTATGTGACCTTCAACATGGTGGTCCATAGCAACTGTAAAAGAACTCACAACTTTGTCACAGAAAAGTTGTTACAAACCCTCCCTTTTTTATGTCCATTCCTCAATCTTGAGAGAAAAGGCGTAAGGACCATTCTAGATACTTCCTGCTGATTAGGATCACAGACCTTGTTTAAAGAAATGAAATTGTTTTTATTATCATATCTGCCATGCTGATCTGTGATCAGTTGTCATGGATGTCACTATTGTAATTGTTTTGGGGGTGCCACAAACCCCACCCATATAAGACAGCAAACAATTGTTAAATGTTATATGTGTCCTGACTGTCTCCCCACTCATCTATTTACCTTCTTTCTCCCTCTCATTAGGATTCTCTATTCCCTGAGACCAAAAAGAAAAAAAAAAAAGAAAAAGAAAAATTCTATGGAAATTCAGCCAATTAAAAACCCCACAATGACTTCTAAGCGTTCAAGCGAATGGAGGAGTCACACATCCATAACTATAAATTAAAAACTGATTAAGATTAGTGAGGAAAATACGTCAAAATCCAAGATAGGCCAAAAGCTAGGCCTTTTGCACCAAACAGTGAGCCAAGTTGTGGATGCAAGGAAAAGTTTTCGAAGGAAACTAAAAATTCTACTCCAGTGAACATGCAAAGGAGAAGGAAATAAATCATTCTTATAGCTGATATGGAGAGTTTGAGTGCTCTGGACAGATTAAACCAGACACAACATTCTCTTAGGCCAGAAATTAATCCAAAGCAAGACTCTCTTCAATTCTATGAAGGCTGAGAGAGGTGAGAAAGTTGCAGAAGAAAAGTTTGAAGCTAGCAAAGGTGGATTCGTGAGGTTTAAGGAAAGAAGCCATTGCCATACAAAAATGTAAGGACAAGCACTAAGTGTTGATATAGAAGCTATAGCAAGTTATCCAGATCTAGTTAAGATCATAGATGAAGTTGGCTACATGAAACAAGAGATTTTCAGTCCAGATGAAACCACCTTCTAATGGAAGAACATGCCATCTAGGATTTTTATAGCTAGAGAGGAGATAACACTGCGTGGCCTCAAAGCTTTAAACGACAGGGTGATGACTCTCTTGTTAGGGGCTAATGCAACTGATGACTATAAGCTGGAGCCAAAGCTCACTTATGATACTAAAAATCCTCGGACCCTTGAGAATTATGCTAAATCTTCTCTGCCTGCACTCTATAAATGGAACAGCAAAGCCTGGATGACAGCACAACTCTTTACAGCATGGTTTACTAATTTAAGCACACTATTGAGATCCACTGCTTAAAAAACAAAAAGATTCCTTTCAAAATATTTTTGCTCATTGACAATGCACCTAGTGACCAAAGAACTCTGATGGAGAAATGTAAGGAGATAAATGTTGTTTTCCTGTCTGCTAACACAAAATCCATTTTGGAGCCCATGAATCAAGAAGTGATTTTAATTTTCAAGGCTTATTATTTAAGAAATACATTTCATAAGGCTATAGCTGTCATAAATAGTAATTGCTATGATGGATCTAGGCAAAGTCAATTAAAAATCTTCTGTAAAGGATTCACCATTCTAGATTCCCTTAAGAATGTACGTGATTTATAGGAAGCTGTCAAATATCAAAATTAATAGGTGTTTCGGAGAAGTTGATTCCTACCCTCAGGGATGACTTTGAGGCATTCAAGACTTCAGTGGAGGAAGTAATTGCAGACTTGGTGGAGATAGCAAGAGAACAAGAAATATTGAAGCCTGAAGGTGTGTCTGAATTGCTACAATCTCATGACAAACCTTTAACAAATGAGAAGTTGCTTCTCCTGGACGAGCAAAGAAAGTGGTTTCTTGAGATGAAATCTACTCCTGGTAAAGATGCCGTGAACATTGTTGAAATGACAACAAAGAATTGAAAACAGTAAATACACTTAGTTGTAAATGCAACAGCAGGGTTGGAGAGAATTGACTCCAAATTGGCAAAAAAAGTTCAATTGTGGGTAAAATGCTACCCAAGAGCATTGCATGCTACAGTGAACTCTTTTGTAAAGGCAAGATCAATTGATACAGCGAACTTCAACTTCAGAAAGTGCCCCAACCACCCCAACCTTCAGCAACTACCAACCACAGCCAATGACATTGAGGCAAGACCCCTACCAGTAAAATGATGATGACTCACTGAAGGATTAGATGACTTTAGCATTTTTTTTTTTTT